CGCAGCCACGTCACAGACCTATTAGTTATAAGATTCTTATGATTTTCTCGTTGTAAATGATAAATGATTCACCGTACCTGTTACCTCATCGGTATATTCAACCGCTAAACTCCTAGCCTGTATCACGGTATGACAACTAATACACAAACGAAGAGGTTATGTTTCTCCGTTCACCAATCATCGGGTAAGATTTTAATTGTGAATATCTTTATAGGTTTCTAGGTATATTAGAAAAGGTGAGTTCAAGACCCAGCTAGAGGTGCTCCGTGCAGGAATGTCGTCTCCGTGATGTCCCCAAGGCTATATTCCCTTATCGTTAGAGTCTCTCTCTCTAGTGGGCAATAGCCAGCAGCAACTAACAGCAGGCAACCTACAGCAGGCATTGCAAGACATTGCACTCACTGACACTCACTTCTATAAGCACTACGGTTTGCTCGCATTGCTTTACTTCGGCTTATGTATATCCTACCTCAGGCTTAACTTGGATCATTCTTACAGCCTCCGGCTGAAATGCTCGGGCTACGATCACGGACTCCTTCCTGCTGAGAGCACCAAGTGCCAGGAGACGACATGTGTTGGGTCTCGTGGGAATGATATTACGAAAATCTTTAGTTTATCAATGAATTGCGATGTTTTATTTCAAAAATGTTTATGACAAAATTTGTACGACTTCTGCTATTCCAAAACGGTTACGATACGATTGTTTCAAAACGTGCCCAAAGCCCAGACTAGTGATATTAGAAAATCCCTAGGATGTATGGTCGACTAGGGATATTCACGTCGGGTATCTTCTTCCTTGGCGGACTAGGAAATTCCGAACAACACGACATCGGTATTTGCCTGCTGTTATACTCGCGCACGCGATCACGCGCGATCCACTAGGAAGTCTTACATTAGGGCTGCTCTCCAACAAAGTTAACCGAGGTTTAACCAGCGAGATTGGCCAATGAGACGTCGATACTTTCGGAAACTTTCCGAATACGATCATTCGGTTGGCTAACGTCATCGGCTGGCGTTTGATTAACTTTTAAGAGACTAACCTTAGAAATTGATAAATCCTAAGATTAACAAATCATTCTGGGATAACTCGGGGTGCGTTCCGAAATGTACTGACAGCACTGTAAAAGTAATTACATATCTCTCTTAGATGCGTATGGATGAATAAGGACACAGCGTGGGTTACAGTACTGGCAGTACTGTCAATACATTTCGGAACGCACCCTCGATTATCCTAACATCCTAGCAAGCCGGTACGCTGTGGTACGCTGTGGATTCTAGTATGCTACGCCAATGTGTATACATATAACCTAAGTTAAAGTCTTGTAACACAAATTGGTACAATCGCGATAACGTTATCGCCACAATGTTATCAAAACTGTTGACCCTCTACCAGAGACATTGACCTATTTTCCAGAATGGTCCATGATCAAATACAGTGTTATAGGTAACTGTTTATTCATGTCAAAGCAACGATATCGTAACTTGACATACGTATGTGATGAAATTGGTTTTATATGAAATTATTCTCGTGGTGGTTGTCTCTGAGGAAAGTTCAAAGTTCATATTCTTATCCGTATGGTAGATATTATAGTATGTAGTACATACATAGTGATACGTGAATAGCATAAGGCACTGTTCTCGTGTTTTCACCCAGTCAGGAATGTCATCTCGGTTTCGTAGCACGAAACGGTACACTGGCAGGAATCTTTCAGTGAAGAATCAGCATCGTCACTGAAACGGCTCTTGGCGGGGTTATTTGAATATCTAACTGTCCTGAATGATCCTGCATGCCAGGAACGATCCCTGCTATTACATGAGTCTTTCTAATGCGTTCCGGAGTCGATATGCCATAGGAATACAGAATACGTCTAGTACAGAAGGAGACGTAGCCTAAGGCAGAAAAAAATGGCCGCCACGAATTGGAAGACTTGCAAGAGGTTTTTGATGTACAAGGAGGAGAATACTGAAAGGAGAAAGATGAGAAAGGTGTCTCGTTTATGGTATGAGGTTGGTACGTAATATTTATGTAGTTGCGGCTAGTAGAAACTGGATGAACGATAGGAAGAGAAGGAGGTTAGCTTTAATGGAGAAATATTTAGAGTAGAGATGCTGCAGGTCTCTGCCCCGCTGATGATGATGACGAAGGGTTTGCTATCGATCGCTTCGAGCTACTGGCTTTTATATTTTATTTATGGACGCCATTTCTCTCGGGTTATTCAAGACTTTGTGACTCTAGGCGATATTCTCCTCTTGTGTTTCTCCTTTTATCCTTTTAATCTCTTTCTGTTTTTATCCTTTACTTTCCTCAGTCTCATTCGCCCTCTTCCCAGCATGGACGTACCCTTCGACCTGGGCGTCTCCATAACGGAATTCGTTCTCTCTGACCCTGAACGATGCGTGTCTGCGGATAATGCGCCATTTTAACTTCGTGGGAGAAAATACTCTTGGAGAATTTTATAATGACGACTCGTTACACTATACCCGTATTTCATACTACATTACCTATGGTATCTATAAGTTTAATCTTTTGTACTCGACTGTACATTTATATAGTATTCAATTTTACTAAGTTCCATATTACTTTTGAATCACAAATTACTTGGAATTTATGCGACTGAAATTTCGATATTTTTAAATTCTAGAATTGGAAAGGTTATTTGAATTCAAGACAATCGACAAGAGGGTACAGATTTATAGGAATTGTTCAATCGATACGAGATGAATACTTATCCGGAATTGAATTTGATATCAAATTAAGATTGATTTAGAAATCTTTAAAGGTTTTCTCCTTTCCATTTCTTGACTCTGTGCATAAAATTCCTGTCATATTTCTTTAAGGGAAATTCACTGAGCTTACTGGAACTTGTAGTTCACTCGCAAGGCAGATGTCTGACGACTTTATAGTCTATAGTCCATATATCGCATTGGGAGAGGCATTTCTATTTTTAAACTTAACGGACAGTCAATTCTATCCGTAGCTCGTAAACCGGATTCATATCTTGGAATCTCTAAGGGTAAAACCTATGCAGATGGTGCGACTTCTATATATTGTAGAAGCAATGCCTAACATGCCTACTCCTTCTTACACACCTATGAGGTAGACATACGGGGTGATTAAAAATTATAATCAAACTTAAGTGTACTTAAATGATCAATAATTAAAAAGTCATTATAAGTATCTTTAAGCATCACAATGAACAACCTTAACTTCCTTCGAGTACCTACGTAAATTAAATAATAAAATATTTTAATAATTGTAAAAATTTAATAAACGCTATATACATATAGTAGCGACATTCAAAAATGTTTGATGATACTTCATTTCCTGTTTTAAGGATACCTTATTATATTAGATATTATATACCTTAATTATAATTGATTTTATAATCACCCTATATGTGCCTACCTACTCAATGCTCTTCTAGTTCTTCTCTCTTTATCTTTCAGACGCACACGTCATTCCTATCAAGCACACGCCACATTGTATTTACTATGAATACGCGGATGCTGCATCCACCACGAGAATTCCATTGAGATTTCTTAATCGTCGAGACAGCAGCTTGCTTATTTTACATAGGAAAGAAGAAAATTGATCTTACCAAAAATGTCTCTCTTGAATATATATATGACTGAGATAACTTGAAACGAATAAAAAAAAATTAAGATGATTAAAGAATGTAAGCACATAGTAAGAAGCTCATCTCATCAATCTCTATTCCATAGGCAGTTCATTTGATCGTACAAGACCAAGCTGTCGGAACGCATTTACATTATCATAAAGTCAAGCACAGCCAGTTACGTGCACGTAAGTCTAACGCGAAGGGATGCTGCACGCCTTGAATTTACGTAGCTGTCTTGACAAAGGAGATGATGCCAGAGTCTGCTGTAACGCCAAGAAATTTATAGCATCCTCCATTCTATTTGCGTACCCTGGATACCTTGGTAACCATCACTCTTTTAATCACGATCAACCCTTAAACCATGGACATTAATAATCCATCATTTCCTATTATTTTTCAGACACAAATGACGTCAGAGATACTGTTGGACGATCTCGCATAAAATTACTGTTCATCGTCATTCGCTATACAGGCGAATTTGCCATCCTTGATCCGACTATCTTAATCAGGATTCTCTCTTGGTATCCTCATCCTCTTAGTACCCAACATTCCTTTTGATCATTTATGAGTTTTTTTTTTTTTTTCTTTCGGTTTAATGCAGTATCTTTCGGATCAATAAATTCTGGAGATTCTTTCTATCTGAAATAATAATAATAATAATCATTGACACATAATCCAGCAGAGGTTCTCAGGGTCAGAGAGGTGTGGATTGTTTTTGTTGAAATACCTTTTCTGAGCAGCATCCGTTTCCTGGATAACGCTAATATTGAGAACCTCTTGTGGCGCCAGACGCCATCTGGAATGCGGTTCCCAACTCCTCCAGAGAATCCCTATCCACGTGGGTACTTCTCCCACGCGTTACACGTGTCTTCTACCTAGTGCTCTCTTAGATGCATTCACGGTTATACTCTCCTGAGAATTGGGTAATACTGGCCCGTGCCACTGGACCCTTCTGGAAATAAAATTAACGAGCGACGACTAGGTTATCCAATATCAGGGTTCGTTTACAAATTTTTTTCAAAGTTTTCACTAAAATATATGCGGTATGCGGTATAGTAATAAACAATGATAACGAATGAGAATCGTTAAAATTTAAGAAACTAATATTTTCTTTTTCCAGCATCCTCATGACACTTACCACTTACCACTATGTACCTTTGTACAAGATTCCTGTGGGCAGAGTCAATGATATATCCAGATTTGGCTGTGTAAACTAAGACGAAAGTACCTGTAGCATTGATTCATTGAGAACTGCTCCGCAAGAGGATGGAGTGAACGTAGCAGATGTTAATTTCGATATCTTGGCATCTTGGTAAGATGCCAAGATCGAAGAGAGTCTAGGAATTTTTCATTAATTCTAGGAAGCTGCTTCCGGAGCAGAGTGAGTTATACTTAGGCGATCGTACGATTAACTACTAATCTCTTTCTCTCTCTTGAAATTCCTAGTGGACCCCACTTCCTCTCTGTGTGTTACTGTGCCTTTATACACGGCCGACTACTATCTGCATCCCCGGCAGACGCCATACCCCTTTTCCCTACTGTTCTATTTTCGGAACGCGCCATGTAGCTGGCCCTAAATATAGCTGAGTCCAGCTTAATATAGATCCTGAGGGCCCGTAGAGACTTTAATTCATTTGTCTAGACTGCTTCGTACGTAAGGCATTACTTTTCGGACAGTTTTTTTCAACAGCTACCACCATGACATCGACCCCTTTGAACTTTCACCCTGAAGACATCTGACTAAGGTCAATCACAGACTGACCAAGTCATCTAGATCCCAAGGGTTGATTGATGCACGGGGAGCTTAACGAGGCACTTTTTTATCCACCTCAGACAGATTCACCACTCACCAGTCTCTGCAATTTCGTTTAAAAGTCAAAAAACCAGGAGATTTACGAGAGCAGAAGATGAAAGTGAGTCTAATGCAAAGAGTGAAGTGAAAAAAAGAAAAGTATCTAATTAGACACACTCTCAATATATTTATCTTGAGTTAATTGCATGGTTAATACGGAGAGACCACCGAGGAACGTTATCTCAATTAGTAAGTATTCGACTCACTTCAAAATGGACCCCAGTCATTTGTAACCACTGCCACGAGTCTCTTAAAAAAGAGTCACTGCTCTTCTTAGATAAATAACATACATATGGTAGATAGATTTGAACTTTCTTACACAGCACTCCTGACCCCTGACAAAATACAAGAGCAGTCAGTCAAGTCATTCCACAGTCCTCGGATCAGTAGGTCCATGTAGGTCCATGTAGGTCCATGAAATTCGTCCGTGAAGCCATTAATTTCCTATAAAAGAAGAAAATGGGTTCCGTTAGAATTAGCCCAGAGCCGATATTGACTGTTTCATTGAATTTATTGGACTTTTGTCTCAACTCTCTAAAGCAGTACTTATCGGACCTTATCTTCTTGGAATTCAATGCAATAATATTGAGGATTTTGCAGATTTGCAGATTTTCCGAGGGCAAATATGCAAGAAAGCATCAATGTGAATCATCCAGGAATGTAACCTGCTCCGTGGTGGACGGCTGCCACAGTGAAGCAGGATGAAAGGTGTAGCTTCTCGTGCACGTTTCACGCGTGAGTCACGTGCCAGCGTTTAGGTTATGGCCTCTTCTACCTCGCCTAACTCACGCATTGCCGTTTCTGCACGCACTCACGCACGCATCCAGCAATTTCTTGGCCAGTAACGGGTTACCCTGGTGCTGCTTGGCAAACAAAATGATTATTCCGAATGAGTAGAGGTACCCTAGGTAAATTCCATGGAGCATCTTAAGAATTTTCTCACGGGACATATCCATTATCCATGACTCACGTAGCCAATGGTTGATATATAAATTTAAATGACTTATCGGGAGAATAAATAACCGTATACATATATGTAACAAAATATCAAACTGTTTTTTCTTCTCCTAAGAATAAAAGTTGTTGTAATTATTATTTGCTAGCTCCTTGGCTATTATAAGTGTCCGCTTATAGGAGCTCGAAGGGACCTGATGTTGCTCTTGCAAGAATGCTCCTTCATCGATAAATTAATAGGCAAGAACCGCATGCCATGCCCATGAAGTTCAACCGTAATAACATAATAATACCATAGATGCCACCCGACTAATTTATTCGCGATTGGAACATGGTAAAAAGTTAAAGACTGCCCTAAGGGTCCAATGATCGTCCCATCCCTCCTATGCTTCTCTTCTATACAAGGAGGGGAGGGACTCCACATCTCTGCTATCTTTCGCATTTTTAGTCTGCCTCGCTCTTTCTCGGTCTACGAGACTCTATTGGAAGCAGTTGGTGACTGGCAGACATAAAGAAAAAAAAGTTCAAGGATTCCTAATGAATCGTTTAAACGGATTGCGAATCATTGAGAAAGGTTATTTAAAAGCTTCTTTTCTAGTAACTCCGAGTTTTGCCTAATCCTGATTATTTATTATCCAGAATCTAACCTTGACACAAAAGACCAGAAGAATGACGTTTTACTACCAGTCAACTTGTGTCAATGCGTTTCAAAGATAGTTGAGAGTGTTGCCATAGGCAAAGGTGAACTTTGAAAAACATTCAGGACCGACCAAGAAGAAAGACAGTCGAAGGCAGCTGATAATGATGATAATGATGATGATGATGATGTATGCGAATAATAATGAGATACTATGAATATGGTAATAGGCTTTTGGACGATTAGGTGTCAGCCACTGCGAATGACGTGTCTTCTTGTCTCTAACACGTATGAAATTGCTGCTGCTCCGACTGTACCGTAATGTACCTACTAGGTTTGCCTTTCATTCTCTTCCTGAACGCCGGCCTCCTTTGAACTTGTAAAGATCCAGCAGGACTTTCTTGCTCCATTTGAATAAAGGACTTAAATAAAATGCAGAGAAGCTTATTTACTCGAGGAATGGAATTTCAGTGATGTTCAAGTATCTCATAGGAATATACGGAATATACGGAATATACGGAAGATACTAGAAACAGCTTGTACCCTTTAGGCATCTATAACGTGCAGAGCCAAGAAGAACGTGAGGCATTGTGCGTAAAGTTACACGATGCATTGTTCTCGGTTTCTTGTATCCCATATTGCCATCATCATCGCCATATTGGGACAGAAGCCAGGCACCATATGTATATACATATATGAGATACAGCAAGAAATGAAAATTGTAGGGAAACCTGAAAATTGATACGGACAGTAAAAATTCTTAAGGCACAATGACTCCCGTCAGTAAAGATTCAACGAGGTTACGTCACGATAACAATTCACTTGGCGCGAGACTCGACCGAGTCTCTTGATCAACGAGGTTACGTCACGATAACAATTTATACTTTAGAAGTCCATTAATCATAGAGTGATAGATTGGAATTTGACTGTTATCACTTTGTCATTCAGTTGCCAAAGAAGTATGCGAAATTGATCTCGGAAATTATCCTCAGCTGTCACTCGTCCACTGTCAATTTACATATGAACGATAAGTCAGAATCCAAACACGTGTCTCATTGGCAATTTCGTTACAGGTTCTTGACAGTTATCAAGTGTCTCGTTACCAGCTTCTTAGTATACCCATTAAGTGTTATAGCGTGAACGGGTTTTCTGGAAAAAAAAAAAAAAAAAAATTCTGGATTTGAAGATTTCAAAATCTCGGAAAGGCGAGAACGCGTGAGAATTATTTGCAAAAAAAAAGACAATTTTTCCGGTTTCTACGTAATTCCACGAAGAGCCTGTCCTGTCCTTTTCGGTGCTGCCATATCAGGAGTTTAACATTCATGAGGGATCGTCAGGTTACTCACGGACATGCTGACTGCCGGCTGAGCTCCTTCGCGAGTTCACAAAAGATGGAAGAAGGCTTGGCTTACGTAATCATCATACGAACCCGTACTTTTATATGGCACTGCACGAAGCATAGTTGGTATGAAGCAAGTAGCCTGGAATGCCAAATATCTTACGCGTCGTGAGAAAGGCCCAATGTCAGAGGGGAATGCACTCGGTGTGTAAGAATATATTATATTTTCCTTTGCCTCCCTTAGCTTCTTCGATCTATCACTTAATCTTTGGTAGGTTAGGAAATTTACAAAATTTAAATACACTTCGCTATCCGTTTGAAGGAACAGAGAAAACTTTATCGGCCAGAACTTCCTAGAGCGTACATAACCTCGAAACTGACTTCGGTGCCTTATAAGGTATGTTTTAAGTTACCTACGGAAGATGCATCTATGCTTTGGTTCCACTTTATATTTGCATCAACATGCATATGCATTCAACTGCATTCTGCACTTTGCTACGAGCCAGGAAGTACGGTGCGTTTTGCTTTACCATAGGGTATTATAAAACAATCTTGTAAAATCTTAGCTCTTACAATATTAACGTTCTTTTATTATTTCTTTAAAAATTAAATTATCTTAACAATTATTATTATTAATAATAAATAATAAAATTATTGTTAATATTATTAATTTAATTAATTAAGCGGATTTTTGTAAGTAGAAAACAGTGGCCTCCGTAGAAATTGGATCTGAATTCTACGTTATCGACGTAACGCTAAGCTATAGGATATTTTAGAAATGGGTTTGTCTACAATAGGAGAGTAATGACCTATTATGTTACAGTTAATCATACTTCCGCTAAACCGGAAGGATATTACAGGTAAGGTGTTGTATATCGATATCAACTCTTGGATGAAATTGGATCC